GGGTAAAAACACAACATCGGAGTCAGACAGACCCGGGCTGCGTCCCGGCTCTGCCGCTGACCATCTCTGTGCTGGTGGGCAAGCTCCAACCTCTCTGTTGACTCCCCTGTAAGGTGAGGAGACCTCACCAGATCTTAGCTTGCTCCCTGAATCTTCAGAATCAAGTCTTTTGAAAGCTTAAATGAGATACTACATGTAAAGTGCTTAGCTCAGCCCCTGGAATAGTACCTTCTTAATACATTGCAAGTACCATTATATTGACTAGCTATCATGGTGGAACCGGGGAGAAATTTTCATTCTTTATTGTCACTGAATTAATACTGCTATAGTGCTATTTATATAGTCAACACACTAAAATTTAGCATTGGTTTGGGGATTCTGAAACTGTATGGAAACAGCTCACGTGTTTCCTGCCCAGTAACACTTTGCAACCCTGTGTCCCAAACTCCCCATAGCTTCAGGATTCTTCTGCGGGGCACCTGAGGGTCACAGAAGACTACAGGCTATCTCTTTAAGATGACACCAGATGGACGTGGGACCACCAGGCCCGACCCTTGTTTCCAGTCGAGCCGAGGACCTGCCCTTAGGAAGGCGAGCTGGAACTGATTGCCAGCAGTCCCACCCAGGGCCCTCCTCAGTCGGTCCGTCCTAGCTGCTGCTGGGGGTTCTGAAAGCATTCATTCAATCACTGAACCTTAACTGAGCACCTATTCCAAGCCAGGCTGTGTCCTCAGACAACCTAATAAGCAAACTATAGTGTGACCGAGGTATAAATAAAGTTCATGAAATACGGACTTTGCCTGGCTTCAGCTTCAAAAGAGAGACATCACAGCTGGATCTTGAAGGATGTATGGGAGAGGAGGCCAGTTCCTGCAAATAGACCAGCACAAGAGCGTGACCCACATGGGGAATGACAGCAATGTCCATGTGGTTGGCTCAGTAGTGTGTGGTAGGAAGTGGCCAGGCATGAGAGGGAGGTTGGGACCACGCTGGGAAAGATCTTAGGGACACATTACGGAGTTTGAACTTGATTCTGAAGGCCGCGGGAAGCAAATCCAAGTTTTGGAGCATGGTCAGATTAGCATCTTAGATGCTCTGGCAGCAGCGGGGAGAATGGGCTAGAGAAGCAGAGATTAAGGGCAGAATTTTGTTAGGATCCAAGTTGGGCGGGTTCAGCCGAGGCTGGGGCAGGAGGGGAGGTGTGTGTATCGGCCTCCAGTAAGGGATAGGAGCCCGAAACGAGAGACCACGGAGCGCTTGCGGGTCTGGGCGGAGGGCCGGTCATCCAACAGCCCAACAGCCTTGAGGAGAGGCCGGACCTCCCTGGCTGCCTCCCAGCAGAGTTCAGCCACGAGAGGCACAGCTGGAAATGACCCGCTGGGCAGCCCAGCCAGCTGCAAGCGCCCCAGGGCTGTCCAGGCTGTGCTGCCTCGCTGCCAGGAGCGAGCACCCTGTCACCTTACTGTCCTTTGGGATGAATTCGCAAGTGAGTCTCCCCGTAAGAGTGATCTTCAAAAAAAAAGAAGAGAGTGGCCTTCAAGGGCGGGATCCCTCCCGGGTCTTCCTTGCTCTGACTGTGCTCTGTTCTTAGGTAAGCTCTCTTCCCAGCTCTGGTCCCACATGCATATATTCCAAGAAATTAGTAAATTCCCCAACAATTCAACCCATAGTCCCAGAATTGAGCTGCAAAAATTAAAAAAAAAAAAAAAAAAAAGAGTGGAAATATATGTTGCAAACTGGTCGTTCTCAACCTTGCCTGAAGATTACAATCACCTAGAGAGCCTTGACAAAAGGCCAACGCCAGTGCCCCACCTCCAGAGAGGAGGATTTAATCGGCCTGGGTGGTGCCCAGGCATCGGTAATCCTGTCAACTCCCCAGGTGATCCCACCGTGCAGCCAAGGCTGGGAACCACTGCTCTGAGCCTCAGGTGCCCGAAGAGGGCGTAGATACGTGGCACACAGAGCCCCGGGGTGCGGGAACTGGGTCACTGGTTGGGCTTTCTTGAGACTTAGGGCTCCGGAGGGGAACTAAGAAACCCAAGGAGTTTGTGGGGCTCAGCGCCTGCTCTGAGCACAGGACAGAAGGAATGAATCCCGAAGCCCACAGCTGCCCCGTGGAGCCCCTGACAGCCTGACGGGCGCCCGTTTGTACGTCCAGGAGAGCTGGGGTGGGCAGGCTCAGACAGGTGGGGCCAGCCTTCAGAGCCGACTCAACAAGACAGGGTGAGTTGAAAAGGTTTCTAACTGGAGACATCATGCAGATGGCGATGGCTCTCGAGGGCACATGGAAGCCCGGAGGGAGGCGGGCAGCAGAGAGGAGAGAGGGTCGGGGCAATTTTGGACCCGCTGAGAAGCAGGATGCTGCAGGCAGGGAACAAGGAAGGGGAACTCGAGAGCCGAACCCAGAGGACCCCAGGAGGAGCACACTGAGCCGGTGGGGCAGAGCTGGGGCTGAGGACGGCAGGTGGCATCACCAGGGGAGGGAGGGGAGCCTGGAGCCTGAAAGAGTGGCCCTGAGCACCCAGGGGGCCAGCTGTTCTAGATGTGGACCGACCCCCCCCCCCCACCTTTAGCTTGATTTAGCTGAGTCTAGTATCTTAAAATTCTTTTGCGGGGGGCACCTGGCTGGCTCCGTTGGTTAAGCACCCAGCTCTTGGTTGGGCTCAGGTCATGATCTCGTGATTTCAGCCCCACGTTGGGCTCCGTGCTGCCAGCGCGGAGCCTGCTTGGGATTCTCCCTCTTTCTCTCTCTGCTCCTTCCCCACTCACGCTTGCTGGCACTCGCTCTCTCAAATAAATAAATAAACTTAAAAAAAAAAACAAAAACCTTTCGGGGTGCCTGGGCTGCCCAGTTGGTTAAGCATCTGACTTCAGTTCAGGTCATGATCTCGCGGTTCGTGGGTTCGAGCCCTGTTCTGTGCTGGCAGCTCCGAGCCTGGAGCCTGCTTCAGATTCTGTGTCTCCCTCTCTCTCTGCCCCTCCACCGCTTGCACTCTCTCTCTTCCTCTCTCTCAAAAATAGATAAACCTTAAAAAAAAAAAACAAATATCTTAAGTTTTTTAAAAAAAGAAACGCTTTAGTAGAAAATGAAGAACAAAACAAAAACAAACAAAAAGCAAAATCCTACAAAATAGAAACGAGTGAGTTTTCAATCCATTTCAAGTGTAGCAAATAGATACCGAACGCCTACTACGCGCCAGACTAGCCACAGATGGCTCGGCTGGCATGGCAGCTTATCAGACACCCAGCCCCACTCCTAGTCCCCCCCCCCCACACCCCAGCCCCCTCGGGGAGGCCACAGCGGCCCTGGGTCCCAGCACCTCTGCCTCCAATAAAGCTCGGCTCACCCACCGGTTGTTCTAAGTGAGGCCCCCCTGCAAATCTGGGGTCCTCCTGGCAAGTAACACTGTTCCTGAAAGCCACCTGTTTCTCATCAGCTGCCCGGCGGGTTTTGGCTCTGGGTTCCAGCCCTTGCCTGGGCTGGGCTCCCCAGCGGGAGCTGGCTTCTATGCCAGGCCCCACCTCCGGCTCTTTCCCATGCGGCTCAGGGCAGAGAAGTATGAGCCGGCAGTTGGTGCAGAGATGAGTGAGAACCCCTCTTCTGGCCATTTCTAACCATCTCTCCAACAGCTCAGCCCCCGGAGGCGGCGGGGGGGGGGGGGGGTCCCAGCGTTTCCTTCCCCTAAGTCAGCGTTGTAATACCAAAGAGCAGAAAATCCCTTCCAATCAAGACCATGCCTCTCTACTCACTAGAAGCAAGAAGTGTCAGGGTCATTCCTCACTCTGTCACTCACCGCAAACATGTCCCTCACCCAGCCTGGGGGGGGGGGGTGGTGTGCGGGCTGCCTCCTCACAGACGCTCCCCTTTAAAAGTTTGCCTTCTATTCCCTGTGACCTCTTTCACCTGTGCTGTCCCCCAGGATCGTGATTCCTTCAAAACCAGCACGAAAGCTGCCTGAGTGTTTGGCTTTCTTCACTCAAGTATCCCTTTAAATCCACTTCTGTACATTTGCTGGTTTATTGCTTTGTAAATGCCTTTTTTGGTGGCTCTTGGGTATATGGTCTCTTGAACAGGTTGGGGCTTTTTTTTTTTTTTTACCCCCGAATTGTGGCAAATATATGTAACATAACATCTGTTTTAATCACGTTTAGGTCTACAGCTTCGGTGAAATTAAGTACATCCACAAGGTCGTACAACCATCACCACTATCCATCTCCAGAACTTTTCTGTTACTCCAAATCCAAACAAGTTTCTCGATGCCCGGCGAGTAGGGACATGTTTAATTGACTTATTCCTCATTCTACATATGTGTTCTATAAATACTCTTGGCTGACTAGAACAGACAAGAGGTTTAATATAAAAGGCCCCAAACAGGCACCAATAGCTTATCAAATCATCTTTTCTAAAAATGTTTTTAATGTTTTATTTATTCCTGTGAGAGAGAGAGAGACAGAGCACGAGCAGAGGAGGGGCAGAGAGAGAGGGAGACACAGAATCCGAAGCAGGCTCCAGGTTCTGAGCTGTCAGCACGAAGCCCGATGCAGGGCTTGAACTCACGAACTGTGGGATCATGACCTGAGCTGAAGTCACGTGCTTAACTGACTGAGCCACCCAGGTGCCCCAAACCACCTCTTCCAAAATTACTTCTTGGGACACCTGGATGGCTCAGTCGATTAAGTGTCCGACTCTTGTTTCAACTCAGGTCATGGTCTCGAGGTTTGTGAGTTTGAGTCCCACAATGGGCTCTGAGCTAACAACATGGAGCCTGCTTGGGATTCTCTGTCCCCCCTCCCCCACCTCTATGCCCCTCCCCGGCTTGCTCTCTGTCTCATAAATAAATTTAAAACAATTTTTTTAATAAATATGGGCGCCTGGGTGGTTCAGTCGATTAAGCATCCAACTTCAGCTCAGGTCATGATCTTGCAGTTTGTGAGTTCGAGCCCCGCGTCGGGCTCTGTGCTGACAGCTGGGAGCCTGGAGTCTGCTTGGGATTCTGGGTCTCCTCCTCTCTCTGCCCCTCCCCTGCTCATGCTCTGTCTCTCTCTGTCTCTCAATAATAAATTAACGTTAAAAAAAATTTTTTTTTAATTTTAATAAGTGAAATTACTTCTTACTAAGACAAGAAGGGGAAGACTGACTCCCAAAGAGGTAGAAAACATACAGAAGTTTATTCTAGATGAATCCCTACATTAAGCTATGACCTGGCCCTGGCCAACGGTCTATGTGTCCAAGACCTCCGAAGAAGATGAGGAGGAGGAGGAAAGAGCCTGTCCTCTCTTCTGAGACAGCCAACAAAAGCACCTGGAGAGATGGACAAGCCCATTATTCCTGAGACTCCTTGAACAAAGAAAAGAGTGTTTCCCCAAACTTGGCTCATCACAGAGATCACTCAGAGCATCCATTAAAGAGATCGAATCAGTACTTCTGGGGTGGGGTCTGGGAATCTGCATAGTTAATAGTGCCTGGCATGATTCTTATGAAAGACAAATTTGGGAAGAATGAACTAGAATGTTCCACCAGCAAGGTGGGGCCAGCCTAGCCGCCTGGGGCTGTGAAGGTAAAGGCTCCCAGCCAGACTTACTTTATGCTCCCAAGAGCTATTCAGAGCTGTAGGCTGCTTTCCAGAACCTTCCCAAGGCTGCTAGTCCCCAAGACTCCCGTGGGCCTGGTGCTTCTAAACGCTCGGGCCTTCCTCTTCCGACATCCTATACGCAGGGCCCATACGCCGCCTCTCATTTCTTCCTCTGTGCCGAGGCCTTGCACGATCCCAAGCTCTGGCAGCTCCGTCCTCTGGCTTGGTTCCCCATAGTTGAGGGAGGACAGTGAGACCTAGTCCTAATTTAGAACAAAAGAGCCAGGTGGTCAGGCCAGGTGTTAATTAGGGGCTGACCACAGACAGCTGGTGACATCACAGTCCACCTTTAGCTCCAGCTGGGTCATCGCACGGAAAGAAGTCGGAAAGCTCGTATCTACCAAATCTGAGGTCAGTGTTTACAGAGGGGGACATTGGACACCGACCATATCGTCACAGCTGAAATTTCACCTCGGGGCCCTCCTGACACACGCCCGCCGGACCAAGCCTGGGAGGCTCCTTCACATTGGAGTGGCTCCGGTGGGCCTCCTGGCCCACGAGCATCACAGAGACAGGACCACCCTCTCCCACAACCACTCCTGGGTACAGTGAGTCAGAGCGGGTTAGGGCACAACAGGCTAGAAATTCAGAGGTGTCTTCCTGTTAATGAAGCCCAGAAGGTTTTGTTTTCATTACAACAAATTTTCCCTCTCTCTCTGCCCCTCTGCTGCCCACTCATAAATGAATAAATGTTAAAAAAAAAAAAAAACCGAAAACAAAGAAGTTACAAGGAAGCTATGTCAGAAATTTTGTGTTTATCTTCACTCCAGAAAGTTTACACAAAGCGGTGTTTCCGTGGAACGTCAACAGGTGTGATGCAGGAAAGGTTTCCGTGCTCCACAGGTTTGGACTAAACTGAGTGAAATAGATTTCTTTACTAGTCCTTTTTTTTTTTTTTAAAGGAAGCTTTAATATGTCTGTATAGACAGGAAACTCCCAAGATGTAAATGCAACGGACTGTATTTTCTAAATAAAATTGATTTATTAACAATGAACCCTTAAGGAAGTTTTCCAGAGGCCACGTTTTGGCAAATGCTGAAGTAGAAGATGCTATTACCCAGGGCCAAGGTGACTTATAAGAAACAAGCCCTTGCTATTTTGTTTGTTCTCTGGTGAATACCTCCTCCCTCTGTTGTATCCCTCTCTGTAACCACAAAATTCACTTCTTGGGGTTAAGCAATAGAGCACAGTAAAGTGAGTGGGCTGTCTGGGGTCTTACCTGGGCTTCCCCACTTACCAGCCTTAGGCGTGTTAACTAACTTCCTTATGCCTCAACTTTGCCGTCTGTAAAATGGGCAGCACTGGTACCTTCTCTTGAAGGTGGTGGTGAGGAACAGACAAAGCCTGAGCTATTACTGTCAAGCCACAGAGCCAGTCTCCTGAGGGGAGATCCCCTTGCCCACTTCTGGGCTCGATGGTCCCGCAGATAAACTAGCGGTCACTTTGGAAGGTGCGGCACACCAGGACGGAGGGGCAAACGCAAGGGTGAGAATTAACTGAAGAGGAGTTGTAGCTAAAAACCCAGAGCATCTGAGACGCAATACGGACGTACAGGCCAGGACCACAGGGCCTGGGATGGGAGGGGAAGGATCCCTAAAATGTGCAAAAAGAGGAAAAGAATCAAGTCAACCTTGAGACAGGGCATATAGAAATATGTACTTACACGGGTCAATACATGCATTATAAACACACACAAAAAGAGAAAAAACGTAGAGGAGACAAAAGAAAAGTGTCAAACCTCAAAATGTCTTTTAGGACGGCACCAGCTGTACCCATCACCCCGCTTTTAGGAGGCTGATGACCTGGACAGCTCTCTGGCCACACAGGGGGGTGAAGGTCACTGAGGAGTCACAGGGGGACAGGGCCATCCAGAGTGGCACTAAGCAAAGACAGGGAAATATGGAGATAGAGTAGCTCGCCCCCAACCGGGCCCTTACCCACAATTCACTTGCCCCCCCCAACCCCCAGCCCTTACCCACAACTCACTTGCCCCCTTTCTCCAACCCCGGTCCTTACCCACAATTCACTTGCCCCCCCTCCAACCCCGGCCCTTACCCACAATTCACTTGCCACCACCCCCCTCCGCCCCCACCGCAGCCCTTACCCACA